ACCTTCCTTCCGAGGAGTGGCTGGTGGGTTTGAACCGCCAGCCTTCTGGTTAGCAGTCAAGTGCCTTAGCCACTATGCTACCAGAGCTCCTAGAAGATCCTAAACCATAAGTCCTCAAACTTTATATTCTCAGACTGCAAACACCTAGGGAAGAGAATGTAATTTATATGGAGAACCTACAGTATACTTGGCATTTTATTATGTGTGTTTACAAATAGTATTCATTCATACATTCATAATATGTTAGAAATAAATAAGAGCTATTAAATAAAATGAAGAAAGACAGGGAGATGAAATTTGCAAATTTAAACAGAGTGATCTGAGTAGGCCTCACTAAGAAACTGGCATTTGAGCAAAGATTTGAAGGAACGGACCATACTGCATGTGGAAGAAAAGCATTCCAGACAGAAGGAAAAGCAGAGGAATGTACCTGAGACGGCAGGATGTCTGGAGCATCCAAGAAACAGGTCAATGTGTCTGGACCAGATAACAGTGAGAGTTGTAAGATTATATAAGACTTTGAGCTTTGGTGGCCTACTGGATAAGGCACGTGACTGCTAACTGGAAGATCAGCAGTTCAAACCTGCCAGCTGCTCTGTAGAAGGAAGACGAGAGATGTACTTTCATAAAGATTTACAGCCTCAGGAACTCAGTGGGGGTCGCTGTGAGTCAGAAATGACTCAATAGCAATGACTTTGGTTTTTTGGTTTTTGTAGGCCACTATTACACTTTGCAGGAGCTCTGGTGGCGTTGTGCTTAAGGCATTCGACTGCTAACCAGAAGGCTGGTGGTTTAAACCCACCAGCCACTCCCAGAAGGAAGATTGGGCGATCTACTTCCATAGTGATTCCACCTCGGAAACCCAAGGAGGGGTCGCTATGAGTCGGGTCCGACTTGACGGCAGTGTGTATTAGAGTTTCCAGTAACATCAGACAGTATTTCACTGCTATTCATAACATTGTCAAGAAAAAAAAAAAAAACCTCACTGCTGTCAAGTCGATTATGACTCATAGCAACCCCTCCTTGAGTTTCCGAGGCATTAGCTCTACGGAAGTAGATTGGCCAGTCTTCCTTCCAAGGATTGGCTAGTGGGTTTGAACCATCAGCCTTCTGGTTAGTAGTCAAATGTCTTAGGCACTACGCCACCAGAGCTCCCACAACGTTGTCAGTGGCCAGTTTTTCAGAAGTGGATGGCCTTGTTCTTCTTCCCAGTCTGTCTTAGTCTAGAAGCTCTACTGACACCTGTCCCCCACGGGTGATACTGCTAGCATTTGAAATAGTGGTGGCAGAGCCTCAGCTTCACAGCAACACACAAGCCACCACAGTATGACAGACTGACAGATGAATGGTGAAAGATCTTCAACGAGGTGGATTGACACAGTGGCCGCAGTGATGAGCTCAAGCATAGCAAGGATTGTGAGGATGGCACAGTGTTTCGTTCTGTTGTACATAGGGTCACTATGAGTCAGAGCTGACTTGACAGTACCTAACAACAACAAAAACATTATGGTTATTAGGGAGCTCTGGTGGTACACTGGCTAAGGCATTCAGCTGCTGCTAACCAAAAAGTCAGTGATTTCCAGCCCACCAGCCACTTCGTAGGAGAAAGTCTTGGAAACCCTATGGGGTGACTGTGAGTAGGAAGAGATTTGATGGCAGTGAGTTTTGGGTCATTATTGTTGTCAGCTGCCATAAGTCTTGTCCCCAACTCCCAACAATGATTGGGGATTGGACAATAGTCATCAATAGTTTTTTTTGTTTTGTTTTGTTTTTTTTATTATTAGGATTTGGGTGAAGATTTACAGAGTAAATTCACTTTTCAT